GGAGGGAGAAGATTCCCACCATTCAGGGATAAGGGAGAGAATAGAGGACTCTTTGAGCCAGGATAACTCAAACCGGAAGGTTTTAGGACCTCTCAAGATTTTAATAGTGTCCAACAAAATGGGACAGTCATTAGAGGTGGGTTTGGATAAAGCCAGGGCATGGGATCCAGGGAAGACCTCATCCCAAGCAGTAGAAATGAAATCTATCGAGTTTGGAAATCGGAAGGGTTCCAAATAATGGCCGAGAATTTCCAAGGTAGGCCATCCGAAATTCTATTGAAGAGAATGGTGACAGAAAACTTCCCAACATGGGAGGAGTTTCGAGACAAATCGGAAGGGTTCCAAATAACCCAGATGCCCCCTGACGCCCCTTCGGCCAGCAAGGACTCCCATTGGCACGGCCTGCATCCCCATACCTGTTTGATGAGAGCCAGCGTGGGTGAGGCTGCTTAGTTTATGTGATTCCCATCACAGTTGGAGCGGTATTTGCAGCTCATGTCTAGCGCCGCCTGGTGTTTAGAGGTCTGACCTAGACCTCGAGCGCTCCATGAAATCAGCTTCATTAAGAACGAGGGGAGGGGTGAAGGCCAATCAATCTTTGAGACCTTCTCAGGGGAAGGTCCGAAGTGGTAGGCAGTGAGCTGAGCCTCAAAGGAGCAGCAGCTGGAGGCTGCTTGTCATAGTTGATGCTGGAAAAAAGGTTCTTCAGCCTGCCCTTTGTGTTCGCCAAGAAGAAAAGGTGGAAAGGGCCTTCAGGGCCATCATAGGGGAAGCGCATGACCTTAAGGACCTCCTTGATGTTGCCATGACCTCGATCGATCCCGTCTACATACTCTGAGTCCACCGAAGCCGCTGGAGATTGTGAAGTCTGGGTGTCCACCATGGAGTCCCTTGATAGCGACAGGTGGGATGGAGCGTTACAATGGGAGATGGAATCCATCATAACAATGGAACTAGGGAATTGGTGGATGCATCGATAGGAGTGAAACCATTGCAAAGCATGTGGACTTTGAAAAAGAAGCTGAACTAGATTAGTAGGAGGCCAGGCGTGTTGCAAAAGGCTTCTCTTGAAGCATGGTATCAATTTATGTGATACTTTCTCTCCAGTAACAAGTACTAAGACATTTATTATCCTAGCCAATAGTAACCTATTTATTCTTGCAGTTACGTTAGTTAGATGAAGATAACATTTCTAATGGTGATCTTTAGGAATGTCAATTTGGTCGGGTCAACTTGCGGACCTAGTGGGTCGAACCAACTCGAGTTAGGGTCCACTTGACCCATACCCTGCTGGGGTCGGGTCTGAGTCCAGGTATGAGTCAACTTGATCCTACTTAATACATGTGATATATATCATTATATCAAAAACTGGTTGAGCTCCACATTTAATGCTGAAGACCTGGAAGAGGCCGAAAGGCAGACTACATCTTGGGAACTAAGATAGTACAGGATCTGGAGCACTAGTTATTGTGGCTATCGCAGTCTCAATACATTCAGAAAGTGTTAAAACAGCATAAAATGTATGATTGCAAGCCCGCAGTGCCCCAATGGATATAGGCATCAAGTTCTGCCAGCATGTGCTCACAGTATGAGGAACACAAGTGCCGGATGAGGCATATTACATACGTCTGTACCATAGGTTCTTTGATATAACTTGTACCAGACTTGCCATTGCCTTCGGAGTTAGTGGGACTAGCAGGTATTCAAGTATCCTGGAAAGCAGCACAAGGGCGCTCTGCTGCATCATGAGTCATCTTCGATATACCCTTCAGTATGGACTGCGGTCAATGGATTGGCACATAAAAGGCTACAGTGATGCAGATTGGGGAGAAGGCAACGACAAAAGCTTATCCACCTCCAGCTGGTGGTTCAACTTAGCTAGCGGGTTGTCTCTTAGTGTAGTAAGAGACCGGGCCTCATAGCAAAGTTCACCATGGAGGCTGATCATATGCAAATGCAATTACTAGAACCAGTTGGTTGCTAAAACTACTATCTGATTCCATTTGAGGTTCACAAGTCATAACAGTCCAGGGGTGACATGATCTTGGGATAAGAGGGCAGCAATTGCATTGGCAAAGAACAAAAGGTTAGGCAGGAAGGCAAAGCACATTATAGATTTTATCACGCAATTGGAGAGTGTGTGAGGGAAGAGAGTATTGGCCTTCAAATATCTTCCCATAGGTTTAATGGTGACCGACATCGTCACCAAGGTAGTTCTCCAAGGGTCACTTGGAGACACACTGAGAGGACGGGCATTGTACCCCTGGTCTGATTTTTCTCTTCCTTGGTTTTGTCATATTGTACTTATAAAAGTTTTAAAACATATAGTGAAACAACCATTACGAGTACTGAAACAGATCATTCATGCTGTATGGATCATGCATCAGGATGACAATCTACTCAACAGTCTAACCATAGGTAAAAGGGATGACAAGATCCCAAAAAGTGCCTTGCATTTGCTTTGCAAGACACATGGAAACAGGTGGAGACTGGAGAGGGTCCCACTTTTACTAGTTAATCCAAGTCTTGGAGGCTTGAAAAAAACCCAACTGCGGTAGTCAGTTCAAGGATACACCCATAGGAGACAGTTGCAGTAATTCCCATATGGAACCCTGTTGATGAACCCAGTGGTCCAAAGAGATAACAAGTCTTTACATAATCGGTGGTTCACTGGCACACTATATACGTCCTTTGGTCGAAAAGGGGGATTGTTGGTATACTCCAAGGAATGGCCAGGACCTTTCATAACTACACATACCTGTGTTTAGGGCTCATCGGCGGTGGTTTCATAAACTCATTTCCAAGCAATAGTGGAAGGGTAGACACAATGTACTCTTGCCCAGGCAAGGGAAAGGACGATGTCCTCATGTCTTTGAACATGGAAAGGCTGTCACCTACTGCCAAGGGGAAAGGTTGTCACCTACTGCCAGGGGAGGATAGTCTTTGAGTTTAACTGCTAGGTGCAGCCTAAGAGTGACCTTGCATAAGCCCTCAAGAAGCCTTAACTGAAACAAATCGCATGCAAGTCCTTGGTCGAAGCAAGGGAACCCAAGATTTAAGATAAACCATACTGTCTTTAGGGCTCATCCCTGGCAGCTATGTAAGACTCATTTCCAGCCAATAGTAGAAGGCTGGACACTATGTTCTTAATGACTCTTCTAGTTTGAACAAAGAAAAGCAGCCACCTATAGCCAAGGGAAGGATGGCTTTTGACCTTAACTATTAGGTGCAGCCTGAGAGTGACCTTGGTTAAGCCCTATGAAAGCCTTAGCTGAAAACAAAATGCATGTAAGACATTGGTAAAAGTCAAGGCAACCTGGACTTCAGAACCATAAAAAGCACACGCATTTTCCCTGTGATGGTACAATTCTCATTTGAATTGGTTCATGAAAACAATCATGAAAGAGTTCGAACCAGCAGCCACCCTAGGACCCACAACCAAGAGAGAGATGCTTATGAAAGACTAAGAATGTTTTATTGAACTCGGGATACCACCTCTCTAGCACTTGATGCTCCAGCTATCCCACCTCTCTGGGCTCCCACTAGTGAAACCAACTTGATGAAAACCAAAAGTACGCTCAATTTCAATAAGAGTAATTGAGTTCTCTGAACTTTTAGTCATCAAGAAGAAAAAAAATCTCTAGAAGTGGAAGGTCTGGAACAAGTTTTCCCATTGGGAAAGAAAGTCAATGATTACTAGTATGACAAGAGGCAAGTTATATTGGCCAGATCTCACCTGTATGAAGCAAGGAAAGACCGATTACTCTTGGAGGAGGAGTAAGGCAGACCTTGTATCTCTTACACCGAGGACTAACATGGAAAGACAAGGGCCAACCTAGAAGTTATATGGTGGTGTCGTGGACCCACTTTATGAGCTTAAGGACTGAAGAGAAGGATAGTAGTATCTTGTGTTCTGCTCCAGGAACTCTTGTTTACCGTACTCAGTTAACCACTGGATAAAGAGAGAATATTGACCTTAAATCCAGATAGGCTTTGCCTTGAATCCCAACCCGTCCCAAAAGTGCCGGTTTCCATCTATAAAATCAAAGTTCTTCCCCATATTACTTTTTTGCAGACAGCAGAAAAATAGAGAATTTTTATAAATTTGTTCATAACAATGGTACATCAGATTTCAGTAAACATTTGATTACTGGAAAGAACTTGAGTCTAGTTGATGCACACCAAATTTCAGCTCAAAATGATCTCCGGTTTGTGAGAAATTAATGAAGGAATAGTATTTTATGAGTCAGGGGATGCATTAATTGGACTGCATCAAATGATGCGTCAAACATCCATCTTTGTGATGGACTGCAATAAATGGTGCCTTCATCAAAAACAAAAATGAAAGGTGTAAACAAAAAAATGGCACTTCTAAATTTTAATATTTATTTATTTTTATTTTATTTTTTAGGATCCATGATTATTATGGTCAAGATTATCAACCTAATTTTGGATCCCAGATCCATCTCTAAGATGGATTTTAGAAGACACACGTAAATGGATTTTGGCTGATTCACCAAAACGATGTCCATTAATGAATAAGTGATTTCTGCCATTATATATCTGCAATTTCTTGACACCAACCATTCTTTCTAACCCCCACAACCAACTATTTCTCTTTAAATTTGAGGGAAAGATTGACCATTGTGTCATTAAGTTGGCTCTGTAATTATCCATGAACTTTTTTGTTCACCTTTTATGTCAATCTTTTTACTGGTGAGGCCATGCTTGCTTATGAATATGATTTCATCCATATTAATATATTCCCAAATGCTTATGGAAAAATATAAAAATGAAAAGACAGAATCTGAAGAATAGTTAGCAACTGTAACCATATTATGTTACATGATGCTATGATTTGACATCACACTCTAGAAAACCACTGAACAATCCAAATCAGTAATTAACATCTTAATAGAAGAGACTACAAAGAAAAATAAAAAATAAGGTATACGGAAAAGGACAACCAGAATTTTCGATCCTAAAATTTGAGAAAGTACCAGTAAATACTTTAGATCAGTTGTACTAATGTCCTCCTTTGACTCATTTGATGAGAAAAGTCCTAGCTTGCTTATCATTTCCTCACAATGTTCCAAGGCTTCACATGCCTTCTTCAAACTCTCCTAAAAACCAGAAAATACCAAATTACTCAAGAATCAGTAATCCACTATGAATAACGTACACGCTTACAAAGAAATGGCTATCAATTGAACAAATAAACCAAGTAAAATCTAAAAATTTAAGGGAACTCTTGACAGAGAGTGCATTAAAAAGAAAAAAAAAAAGGAGAATCATATGGATGACTTAAGCTTACAAAGTTGCATAAAAACTCAAAATTCAAATAAAAAAAATCTGGAAAGAACAAGATTCAATAGAATTGAGAAAAGAATCCCTCTCATAGACTATTTCCAGATAAATGACACATCCCTATGATAATTTCCTCCAAAATAAAATATAAAAAAAAAGAAATATTTACAATGATCTCCAAGACTAACCACCAAAAAAAAAAAACACTATCTATATGCAGAATTTCTCCAAATTCGAATCCTCAAAGCTAATTTTTTGTAAAATACCGATAGAAATACAAGCTACCAAATTCTAGTGAATAACTAGACTGTAACTATATTCTCACAATCATATAATCCATAACCAACATTTGAATGAAATCATACCTAATTTGTCTAGCCAAAAGTTTAAATTTTATACATCACAAACAAATTTCAGACATTTCCTAAACAATCAGAATTTTATACATCACAAACAAATTTCAGACATTTCCTAAACAATCAGTTTGAAGCAAATTGTTATTACAACAATATCAGTTTCAAAAAAAGAAAGCAAACTGTTATTATGGCACAATTGGATCTCACGAACTAATAAGATGATTATTGTATAAATTGATTCAACAGAACTAACACATAAACACATGAAAAATAATAAATAAATCAGCAAACTCACAGGATCCGCAGTCTCTTCTGTTGCTAAGATGTGTACTTTCCGAGCCTGCTCAAAAAGAGCAGGAAGTGGCATATCCTCCAATTTCGATTCTCCCATCTCCGGATGAAGCCCTAATCAAAATGGTGGATTTCTACGTAATAAACTCAAAAACACAGTCGGAATAAAACGGAGGATAAATTAGGGTTAAAAAATTATGTTATACAAGGACACCTTATGATCACCATACCTGATGCAAGTATTTAAGTTATTTTCTCTGTATTAAAAGCCCGATAAATAGATAAAACCAACGGTTTAAAAAGCGGATCGGTGACCCGGATCGGGCATCTCAATAATCGATTCGAATCGGCAATCTGGATTGAGAATTGAATGAATCGGTCAGATTAAAGCTTCAAAAAAAACATTTTTTCATCGATTTGTGAATACTGAGATGAATACTGAGATGCTCTTTTTCTGTATAAACTTATGTTAACCATTAAATTTGCATCACATAAAAGAAAAATCATAGAATTATCATAAATAAAATATATAATTATATATGGACTATTATAAAGAGTAGACAAATCAATAAAAGAATGGCCATTAAAATCTCGTTTCGACGAAAAACCCTAATCCGTTAAAAAAATCCAAATTATTACATCCTAACTAACTATAATTTAAAAATGGCTTAAAAATATATTTTTTAAATAAAAAAAAAAAAAAGAAAAAAAGAAAAGAAAAAGAGGATTGAATAGATCTCTAAATATTAAAAATGGACCCTCAAAGCAATGTGTACAAGATACACGATTTTTAGTTGCTGAAAAACTCAAAGGCAAATAGATTTCTAAACACTTAAAAATGGACCTCAAGGCAATATGTAAACAGATGCACTATTTTTAGTTGCTGAAAAATCAAAGGCCAGAGAGAGAACATAAGCTGTAAACAAAGAGCAAAAAGCATTCAACTGAGGAAAATAGGAAAAAAAAAAAAAAGGACAAATCACATGTTCCATGTGCTTGAAAAAAATCAATATTTTGAGATTAAACAAGGGTCATCCAATTTTTGTAGGGCAAGATCTAAGGACTCAAAATTTACTCTTTTCTTCTTTTTTCTTTTTTTTTTGTGAAAATAACAGTCTACTTGTTCTTAGTTGGATTCCAAAAATTCCACCCAAAAAACAAAAATCCAAATTATCTCTTTTTCCGGGAGAGTTAATGTATAGTATGCTCCACCAGGAGCATGCTGCCCCCCGAAGGGGCCCTCTCCTTTGTCTCTCCCTCTCTCTCTCTAAAATATAAAAAGTTTAAAGAATGACCCTCACTTGTTCCTCGTTGTCTCATGTATATATAGGAAAAAAAGTTATAGGAAGTGTCAATTTTTTTTTTGACTATCCATGTATATACAGGAAAAAAAAAGTTTCTTAATATAACATTTCATAAAAATAAAAATAAAAAAAGTGTCAAAACATAATTGTTTGGGGTGATCTTAATTTTGAAGTGAATGCTTAAAATAACTCAAAAAAGAGTTCAAACAATACCATGATAAGATACATGTGGGTGATAAGCTTCTATATTACTCGGGGTCAATAAGTTCTAAGGTACTCATAGACAACTTGTTAATTACATTCACTTTTTCATTTAATGGGGGAGTAATACAAGGGTAAACTTAAGGATTTGAGGTGAGGTTTTATTTTGTTTTTAAAAAGCATAGGCCTTATAAAAACCTCATCCTTTATAATATAATGTTGACATATGGATGGTAAAAAAAAAAATTGACACCTCCTACAAACTTTTGAGTAAATTACTCTTTTGCCCGACCCAATAGACTCTTACGAGCCAGGCTCCTTTCCTACTATTCTCGGGCCAGGCCAAAATAGTTTCCGAGCCTTTTTCCTGGCACGGGCTGGTGCCGACCCAATAGCTGTCCTAATCCGACAGAATTCTAGTGTTCTTTCTCATTAGATAATGGGTGCAGTTGGCATACGGATGCATTTGTAGCTGTAGAGGTAAGGTGCACCTTCAAATTTTATCATGGGATGTAATTGTGATGTAAAATGTTTTTAGGATTATCTCAAAATCTATTTTTATATCTAATTATAAAATTTTAAATTTAAAAAATGGTTAAAATGAAGTAGATCTATGAATATATGAAAATCTTAAACATGAACGATGTAGATAATATGTTGTAAAATGTATTATTTCTGAGACTTAAAACCTTTTTATTTTTCATGGTCACACATCTTGATGTCGAGATGATCACTCAAAGAGTTTTTCAACATTAAAACTACCTTTTCCTATGAATTTTTCAATTGCATCCGTAGTTCTACATTATAAGGTTGCATCCTTATATTGATTTAGATAATTGATACAATGAAAATGTTTTTATACTTCCCCTACGGTATAGAAGATATATACTTCTCCCATCTAACCATCCAATTTAGATAAATTGAGCCTATGACTGTTTGATCTAGATTTGACGCCTTAGAGTATTTTATTTTTAAATTTTTTTTGTACAAATTATATGAATATGAAATTCAGTATGCGCCATCATCTCAATGGGGGCACCTAAAATTTAATAAATTTTTTCGATAAAATATAATAATCAAAATACCCATTGAAACTTTTAGGATATTTCAATGGGTATTTTGGTCATTTTATTTTATTAAAAAAAAAATTTATATATTTTTTACAGGTACGAGTTTAAGAGAGGAATGGATGCGTAAAATTTAGTGTCAAAATATTTTATAAAAAACTAAAAATAAACTAATGTAGAGACGTGACATTGTGATTGGGACCATCTCAACCATTTGCTCAAAATAGACGGTTGGATAGGGAGAGGTATATAAGTTTTATGCCATAGGGAAAGCACAAAAAGCTTACCCTCAATAGAAATCTTAACCTTGATACAAAACCAAATAGAAATGTATACAATGACTTCATTTTAGTATTTTAGGCCTGGTTTAATAAAGGGAAATTATCGCTAATATACTTTAATTTTAAGAAAATCACAAAAAAAACTCCTACTTCCCAAAACCTAGCCCACACATTTTTTCTCAATTTTTGACATTTTTTGGATGAAAATCCCCTTTCCGGTAGTCTTTATACCGTAATGCATTGCGACCATTATGGTAATTAAAATACCCTTGTAAATAGAGATAGAATTACGGTACTTCTAGTACCGTAATAACGTGAACATCTATTACGGTATTTTAATTACCGTAATACTCTATGTTCTTACGGTAATTAAAATACCGTAATACCTTAAAGTAGTATTACGGTAATTTTTATTACCGTAATATTGCCTAGCTCAAAACAAAAGATTTTCTACTATCTCGAGTTTACTATCTATTTACTTCCTCGACAAAAATCCATGCTAGTTGTATTTTTCAAATCTCAAATTTTTAGGATATAATCTCTACTTAATTTTTATATAGTTATCAAAATTTTAGAACAAATATACTCTTAAATAGGTGTTTTTGACCGAGGGAGTAGAGAGGGATAGCCCTGATATTAGCTTTGGTTTGAAACTTTTAAAGTATTACAGTAATAAGAATACCGTAAAGTTAAAGTATTTATGGTATTTTTAATGTCGTAATGCTTTAAAAGCTTCAAACCAACGCTAATATCAGGGCTACTCCTATCTCTTTTCAAAAAATATATGTTCCCATGAGAGCACGATGTGGATCTACTTCCTCTTTCAAAAATACCTATTTAAGAGTGTTTTTGTTCTAAAACTTTGAAAACCATATAAAAATTGGAGATTTGAAAAATACAGCTAGCATGGATTTTTGTCGATAGAGTAAATAGATAGTGGACTCGAGAGAGTAGAAAATCTTTTGTTTTGAGTTAGGCAATATTACGATAATAAAATTATCATAATACTACTTTAAATATTACAGTATTTTAATTACCGTAATACTCTATGTTATTACAGTAATTAAAATAGCGTAATAGATGTTCACGTTATTTCTAGTACCGTAATTCTATCTGTATTTATAACGGTATTTTAATTACCGTAATGGTCGCTATGCATTGTGGTAGAAAGACTACCATAAAGGGTATTTTCATCCAAAAAATATCGAAAATTGAGAAAAATGGTGTGGGCGAGCTTTTAGGAAGGTAGGGTTTTTTTACGATTTTTTTAAAATTAAGTTATATTAGCGATAATTTTATTTTAATAAATGGGTGAAATGTTGATGTGGTTTGATAAATTTCTCAAAAATTGTGTAACTTTGAGAGGACATGTTGAATAAGTTGGAAAAGCATGCCAGCAGATCATTTATACTTTTGTATAAGGTCACAATCTCCATTACTTGTTAGATGTGGAATGGGGCAGATGGAGTATGCTATCGACAAAGCTCAAAGTCCAATAAAATTGTTATTGAATTTTGTGACCATAACTTTAACCACCTTATTTCAAATTTAATTTTAAGAGCAATTATGATTTTATTGTACTAAGTAAATGGTTTTATAATATACATCATTTTCGTGATCAAAGCCTTTTTTCAACTAATTGGAGTCAGCTACATGAATCTGAGTCTACCATTATGCTCTCTCAAGGGCTATACCCTCAATGAGCTCATAAATCCTCATATCTTTTAGTCTTGTAATATACAATCTCAAATAAATTAGTGCTTATGCATAGTACTTTACAATTGAGATGCACCTGTATAAATAACGTCCCAATTATTCAAAAGGAAAAATATTATATATGCTTTTTAGATTAGAAATATAGCTTTGCTTTCACGGGCAAAAACCTACTCATGGGGACTTGTTGGGTGCCTAAGTTTGTATAGCTTCACATGGAGGTTCTAATTTATTATTATTTACAAATTTTTAGTTATACTATTTTTCTTTGTAGGGTTTTTGGGAACCCCTAGTTTACGGAACCGAAAATCCTAAATACCGGGATCCCACCCAATATCGTGTATACAATTCACTAAATGTGAAGTAGATGGATACAATTATAAATCGAGTGCAATAAATAAAGCCAACATAAAAAATTACACTACAACGACACATGATTTACGTGGTTCACCCCATAGGGCTACATCCACGGTCTCGGATAATGGAAACTCACTATTTAAATGAATATTACAATTTTAGGTTACGAGAGATAATACATATCTCTAAACATCGATAAAAGACCATCACCGATCTTTCGTTTTAAACCTACTCTCCCGACTGAGTAACATCGTCGATCTTTATTATCTTTTGCATCACAAAATCGCTACCGGAAAGATAACCTAGAGAGCAATCGAGATATTTTTTCTATCTAGAAGTGGAAGCATTACCAACCCAAAACTCAAACCAAACTCATGGGAATACTGCTCTTCTCTCAAAGGCCATGTCTATTTCTCTTAGAGACTCATCTCTATATTGGAGATCCATTCTCATAACCTCCCAAATTGGTGACTTTCAAAAGGATGGTATTATGTCTTCTTTGATTCTCTTTTGTAGATATCACCATGAGCTTATTTCTTGCTCCCTAAGAAACTATTTATCTTTTTACCATAATACTCTTAATCTTTTTAATGAAAACATATGTGTGTTAATTTCGACTATCACCCAACCTAACACTTTTATTTCTAACTAATTTAGGCCATGATTAAATAATTTTGACTTTTTAATAATGACATGGTTTCTACGAATCCAAATAGAAATGAGTCACTTCTTGAAAATCTATTTTTGAGATGGATTTTTGAATTTACTTTTTAAGGACATGTAATAGTTCATGAATAAGAAAAAATAAATAATTTTCAAAAATTAGAAAAATAATTCTATTAAGAAAACATTTGAACCGTTAGTTTCAGTTGTTTTTAGATGGACCACCTACTTGCATCGATCTTTAAAATAGATGCTTTATACCATGGGACCGACATATTGTAGAAATGCGGTCCAACCCGCATGAAACAATTTTCCTTTTAATAAACTTCTTTTCAATATAATGTCAACTCTTAAGAATTGTCTTATTTATATTTGAAAAAAGTTTATATAGAACCGAGGCTATAAAAATCAAATTAAAACCCACCTCAAAAATTTCACTAGAAGAGGTTGTTTTGATGCTTAAATATCTTCAAATTGATCATCTCGACATCAGGATGATGCATGGATAGAGAAAAAAATGGATTTCAAGTTTTGAAAAAAATGCATCTTATAACGTATTTTTTGGACCGTCAGTTTTCAAGATTTTCAAGTTTTCATAGATCTGCTCAATCTACACTATTTTGAAGCTATTAAAGATGAAAATATATTTTAAGACCATCACAAAATTTCCAGTCTTGAAACCACATTTCTCGACACTATTTTAATGTGAGCTTTACTTTGATTGTTTAGAGCCTTAGCTCTATAGAAACCACACCTTTGGTACAAGGTAGTCACATTAACCATGACCATCGGATGTGAAATTGGGTGGCTACAAGTATTACATTGACCAAGCTCAAACGTGGAAAAAAAAAAAATCTCGAACTTTGTGACACATCCAAGCTATCAAATTTCACATTAGATGGTTGTAAGTAATTGTGACCACCTTGTATCAAAGGTAAATAGTTTCATTGTATACAATGATGCCTTATATTATTTACTTTAAAAGTAACTAATGCCAAATTGAAATAAGAGGTGTGGACTTTAAGGAAAGAAAAAAAAGATCAATCTCCTACTTTCCTTGCACTTTTGAGGGAGAGAGAGTTCCGGAATTAGTTGGAGCTAGAAATAGAGAAATACTTATTCAATTTGCTTATCCTAAAACTTATCCTTTTAGAGAAGGATTTTCAAAAATTTGAGGAAAGATGAGTCAAAAGAGAAATTGAAATCACACTGTCCTATTTATTCTCCCTTAAAAATATGGAGTGGGGAGAGACATGGTCTAAAAATATCCTAAACTGACTTATTCTTTTTTAGAAATATTTTATAAAAAAAAGGGAGAAAATGGTTATAGATAAATATATAAAATTCACTATCCTATTTATTTCACAGTGATATTGATCTACAGTCTCCATTTGTGTGAGGGAGGCATTTGAAGTTTCGAAACCTCGAGGTTAATCACAACACCATGCATATTTTCCTTGTTTTCTTACAGGCAATGAGAGAAATTATTTGTAAATGCAAGAAGAAATATGGTAAAATATTTCATGGCTCATATGAATATAGAATAGTGTATTCTGACCAACATTCTTGTCCCCGTTAATCAAGGTTGATGGTTGACAAGTTATTGCCGACTTTGATAGCCATTTTCTGGCATGAGCAACCAATTCCACCATGGACAATGAATTTTAGGTCAGATTACTTAAAAGAAAAAGCTTATATAAGGTTGCAACTCAAGTGTAGATATAAAGATGCACCTCAAAAATCCATTGGAAAATGTTGTTTTAATGTTGAAAAGCCTTTTAATTGATCATCTCGACATTGAGATCGATGAATATGGAAAAAGAAAAGATTTTGAGTCATATAAATAGTATATCTTGCAACACATTATCTAGACCGTCAATTTTCAAGATTTTCATATGTTTATGGATCTACTTGATTTTAACCAATTTTGAAGTTTAAAATTTTATAATTAGATATAAAAATAGATTTTTAAATAATCTTTAGAATTTTTTACACTAAAATTAGATGTTATGATAAAATTTGGAAGTACACCTTAATTGTATTGTTTGAGGTCGCAACCTTATAGAAACCACACATTTGGTTGATGAGTTATTGTCTACTTTGATAACTGCATTCTGGCATGAACAACCAATTCCACCGTAGATACTGAATTTTAGGTAAGATTACTTAAATAATGCACAAAAAATTTAGTGTTTGGTCCCACCAAAGAATATGAAATAGGCTTAAGTTTATTATTTTTAATAATTAATTTATAATAAATTATTAGATTATATACAATGAAATCATTTATCTTTATTACAAGAAGGTCACAATTACTCATGTTCATTTGATATCAAATTTGATGGCTTGGATTAAGTCACAAAATCCGAAAATTCTCTTTTTGAACTTTGAGTTGTCAGAATGACATTATTCCAACAAATATTGTTTTATGCTTACCGTATTTCTACATATGTTGTCTGAAAAGTATACAGCATCCATCCTAAAGAGGGATGGAAGTAGGTGTTCGATTTAAAACTATTTGAAGGTAGGCACTAAGAACCTAGGCTCTATACAAATCGTACCCGTTGAGGTGCGGTTTTATTTTGTTTTTCTTCTAAAAGCCTAAAAAAAAAGAAAAAAGTTTGGCATTGAATTTTTGGAAAGTTTGAAAGGATATTATCCATGTCCCAAAAAAAGAAATGAAAAATCTAGGATTATCTAAGCGAGTAATCCTTTCGTGTATTGGTAAGCTCGTTAAACGTGGCGATTTCGTGACCGAAGGATCTTCCATCGCAGCCCTAAATCATCGCAACCGACAAAACGCAGAACCACGGGCTTTTACGTTTCCAACTCAGTCGCAAATGAGAGAGAGCAAAAGCAAGACCACGACCTCCGTTTTTTATCACAACAAGCGCTAAATAAATGCAGAAATTTCAATAACCAGTGACCTCAATCTCCATTTCTTTCTCCATCAAAGCTTAAAGCGCTTCCATTTTTAAAAAAAGTTGCAGAGAGAGAGGATTGATCTTTACCAAAAGGGGTGAAACCTCCATTGTTTTCTCCGAAAAGTAAAAAAGTTGCAGAGATACCAACTTCTAGAAAGTCTATTTCTTCCAGTCAAAAGGCCGAAAAAATCCCACTATTTCCTTTGAAAATCCGAGGATTGGAGAGAGGGAACCCCAAAACACATACCTGCATTTCTCTCATCTAAAAGGAAAGAAACACATTTTCTCCTCTCATCTACAGCGAAAAGACCCCGTCTTTTCTTCCTCAAAGGAAGAAACTTGTAGAAAGAAGAAACCCCAAAATCCACATCTTCACTTCTGTCCTCTAAAGTTTAAAAACCTCCATTTTTTCCTTCAAAAAGGCACAAGTTGCAGAAAGAGAGCCCCAAAACCTGACCCCAACTTATCACCTTCAAAAGCACGAATTAGAGAGAGAGAGAGAGAGAGAGAGAGAGAGAGAGAGAGAGAGAGAGAGAGAGAGCATCATCGAAAAATGGGTACCATCAATGGTGGTCTCAAGCTTGTGGGATTCAAAAACTTTGTACGATCAAACCCTAAAACGGACCGCATCCCCCCCACCAAATTCCACCACATCGAATTCTGGTGCTCTGATGCCACCAACACTTCCGGCCGCTTCCAGAACGCACTCTTGATGCCATTGAACGCGAAATCCGACCTCTCGACCGGGAATTCGGTGTATTCGTCCTATGTCCTGAGGTCCCATGACCTGATTTTTGCGTTCACGGCTCCCTATCTGGTAAATTTCTCCGGGAATATGTCCAGAAATATGCCACTCCCTTACTTCAAGCCTGCAGAGGCCCGCGAGTTCGTTGAGGCCATGGGCTGGGAGTCCGGGCTGTCGGGCTTTTGGTTCCTGATGCTTCTGAGGCCTTCCGGAAGAGCCTGGAAGGCGGGGCGATTCCAGTAAATGCGCCTGTCGAGCTCACCAGCCCCACGACCGCTGGAAAAATGACAGTGGCCGAGATCAAGCTCTATGGCGACGTGGTCTTGCGATTTGTGAGCTCGTCTAGTGATTTTTCGGGTGCGTTCTTGCCAGGATACGAGCCCGTGGGGCCCGCTATTCCGGCAAAAAACCCCAATTCTCCTGTGTTGGCACCTACTTGTGGCCTCTTGAGGCTTGACCATGTGGTCGGAAACGTCCCCGAATTAGCCCCGGCTCTGAAATACATAAAAAATCTCACTGGTTTTCACGAGTATGCTGAATTTACTGCAGAGGATGTTGGGACAGCGGAGAGCGGCCTGAATTCGATGGTTTTGGCGAACAACAATGAGACGGTGCTGATGCCGCTGAATGAACCAGTGCACGGAACGAAGAGGAGATCGCAAATTCAGACATATTTGGAGTACAATCAGGGGCCGGGGGTTCAGCATTTGGCTCTGGTTTGCGATAATATTTTTGAAACATTGAGAGAGATGAGGAAGAGAGGGAAAGAGGGGGGTTTGGAGTTCATGCCGGGCCCTCCTCCGACCTATTACAAGAATTTGCCGGGGAGGGCGGGGGACGTGCTGACACAGGAGCAGATGAAATTGTGTGAGGAGTTGGAGGTGTTGGTTGATAGGGATGAGCAGGGTACCCTGCTCCAGATATTCACTAAGCCTCTTGGAGATAGGTAAACAATTTCTCTCTCTAAATCCCTCTTTATCTCTGTATATTTGCCATGCCTATAAATCTCTGTCTGTGTGTGTGAATTTGAATGCTCTCATCATCATTGTGTTAATAAATTTCTCACTCTTTGTGTATGACGTCTGAAGTCTCGTTATATTATTTATGTTTCTCTCTCTGTGATTGTGTATGTCAACTTTGACAGCTACCCTCTACCATTCTGTTCCTCTCTCTCTCTCTCTGTTAAATTTGTCACACTGTTTGTGTGTTTGAACTTTGAAGTTTCTTTGCAATGAATTTGTCACTCTGATAAGATCGGATCTCTCCTTGATAAAACTCTGTTTTTGTCTCTCCGATAAGTCTCATCTCAAGATTGAGTCTCTCTTTGATAAAACTCTCTCTGATCTCTCTCTCTATATATATATATATATATACCGAGGAACAGACTACGGAATGCCTATAGGAAAATGAATAGTATTTTCGCCTGTAGGGTTGGCACCGCCGGATTTTATTCATGGCATGCCATTACGGTACTGCAACACACATAACATGTCCGTGGCGGTATTTTTTCACACAAAAAAGACATGGCCGACCACCACGGCTCCTGTATTATACATAGCGATTTGAGATCGAGCATGTCAGTGGTGGGACGAAATACTATTTAATTTCACCCACTTTTAAGATTTTTCCATGTATATATATATAATATTTGGGGGAATGAAATTTCAAACTACACAAAACACTCCTATCCTTGTTTGCCATTCTAGTGTTTTTCAGGTCAGGCCAATGGTTTAAAAAGCGGATCGGTGACTTGGATCAGGTATCTCAAGAATCGATTCGGATCGGCAGATCGATGATCCGGATCGGGAATGGGCTGAATCGGTTAGATTAAAGCTTCAAAAAAATCCAAAAAAATTATTAAAATTCATTATAAATATTGTTTTTTAGGAATTCAATAAGAAATGAAGGTACTACATTATTAACTTTCATTTTTTTCATCAATTTGTGAATATTGAGATGTTCTTTCCCTGTATAAATTTATGTTAACCATTAAATTTGCATCACATAAAAGAAAAATCATCGAATTATCATAGATAAAATATATAATTATACATGGACTATTATAAAGAGTAGACAAATCAATGAAAGAATGGCCATTAGAATCTCGTTTTGACGAAAAACCCTAATTCGCTAAAACAATCCAAATTATTACAGCCTAACTAACTATAATCCAAAATTATTAAAACCTAATTAATTATAATATTATATATTGATATTATAATTATTAGTTTACATTTTATAATTATTTTATTAGACAAATAATAACAAATTTAAAATATTTTATAATATTATCTAATTTAAAATTTATTATTGACAACTGTAAGAAAAATAGTACATTATATTATTTATAATGTAAAAATTAATAAATAAAATAAAATATTTGGTTATCAATGTAAAAATTAATAAAATACGTACAAATTTTAGAAATAACACTTCAATTTTTCAAAAATTTATTTTTTTAGGTTTCTATAATAAATTTAGTGAAAGAGATTGTTAGTAGAAAGATGGAGATTTCAAATAGAATAAATTTTTTATATTTTATTTTTTTAATGCCTTTCATATTATTTAAAAAAATAATTATACCACTACATACAACAAAAATTAACTGTTATACAAAAAATTAAATTTTTTATTTTTTCATTTATTTATGCTTTTTATATTATTTATAAAAATATTTATACAATATATACAATAAAAAATATACCACACAAAAAAATAACGCCCATGGGGGGACTCGACCTTGAGACGTCACATGAAGAAGCAAAGGTCTTAATCACCACTCCACCGCACCATATGTGGTTATAACTTGATGATTAATAGAATATATTTAAATTCCCTTTTCATTTAATGATGTTTGGGAATTATCCCACATCGAAAGATAGGTATTCCATTTTGGTATATAAATACATATGTAATATAGATTAATATGTTTTTGTAGAAATATTAGGGTAACCTAACACGTGTCGCGCGCGCGTGCTGCACGTGTCGCACACGTGCAGGGAGGGAACCGGGCTGAACCGAGTAGAATCGGATTGAAATCGACGGTTCTCCTCTTAAACCGGGCGGTTCACCATGAATTGTAATACTAACCTATGGCCACCAATGTGTTGAACAATAGATATTGTAGTCCACAAATTTATAAGGATATATTATTGAATGTTATTTGTGACATGGGAGGGTCGGGGATGATTCAATGCTTAGACTCAATGTTCAAAATAAATTTTTGTGAATGTTGTCGGGGATGATTCAATGCTTAGACTCAATGTTCAAAATAAATTTTTGTGAATGTTGTGACGTACTTCAATCTGTCAAATATCACATTTTCAATCTGTCAAATATCACATCCAATAACTAAAGATGATGTGACCTACCAAGAATTAATAATTTCATAGTACACAATCCCTTAAAATAATGTATCTTTTGTTTTCCTTTTTACTTTATAAAGCTTAAAGCTGATGGCTCAAAACTATTTAAATGAATCAATGAGCAAAGAAATACTTAATTGGGGCATATTCTGCTAAAACAGAACACATGATTCACACCAAAGAGGTACACATTATAGCATATTTATTTCAAAGGTCAAATTAACACACTGTATGCACACTAATCATTCTAATTTATAGAAGTTTATTGTGAGATGTGCTCTATTTGTACCGGTGTTTAAAAGTGCTGACTTAACAAAGACAACCAAATAACATATCAAAAAAACGGTCGACTCGATGATTATGTGGTTTTTCGGCCTGGAATAGCCGCGTCCCGATCTGGTTCAACTCAAGCAAGTCCCGAGTCAGACCTGCAATTTTTTACTCACTGATTTGTAGTAGCATTATGAGATTAAAGTTCACTGCAGATGCATACTAGTAGTTCTATTCTAAATGTCTTCAAACAATATTCTCTTTCCATTTAGTCCTATTTTTCATTTAGAACAAGTAAAATTTTGCATTCTTCTAGTTTGAACTTGCTTGTGTTTATTGCAGGCCCACCATATTCATAGAGATAATCCAGAGGTTGGGCTGCATGCTTAAGGATGAGCAAGGCAATGATTACCAGAAACCAGCATGTGGAGGTTTTGGAAAGGGAAACTTCTCTGAGCTCTTTAGGTCCATTGAGGAGTATGAGAAAAGCCTTGAAGCAGCAGCAACAAACATTGCAACTGCAGCTTCTTAGATACCTTCTCTCTCTAAATTACTTTGGTTAAGGGTTAGAGAGAGAGATACATTACTGCCTTCTCTGTTAACAAGAGTTGAGTTGGGTAGCTGGGACTTAGTAGTTTTGATTGTTCCTCCCTATGAATAAATCATTGAAAGTTTGAACTTCAGATAAACATTTGTACAAAAATAAAATGCTTCTATTTATTGGACAATGTGGTGATGTTTATTCTATGTTTTCATGAGACACATATATATACTATATTTATTGTAGCTTATGTATTCTATGTTGGTTGATTTATAGAAGCATGTTTTTCAAAAATATTCTCTTTTCTAATTCCCTTTTAAATTTAAAATCATTTCACCTTAGGATTTCCATTTTTTAACTTTATGCTATTTTGTATGAGTGCATCGTAAATAAATTATGTAGAAGTATACCACTTACTTTATATACAAGTAGATCACAATCACTCTCGTCTCTTGGATTTCAAATTGAGCGGTTGTAAGATTGTCATTGAGAAGACTCAAAGTTTAAAAGAAAATTTTTGGATTTCGTGACCAACAAGCTATCCAATTTGACATTTAATGAGTATAAGTGATTGTGATCTTTTTGTAATAAAGATAAATAGTCTCATTGTGGACAATCCTACAAATTATTATAAAATAGTAATTAATAATAATAAACTTGAGCTCATTTCATATTCTCTTTTGGGACCAAATACTAAATTCTATGTAGAGTATTTATGTAAGGGAAAAGTTAATATAGAGCCTAGGATCTAAACAATCAAATTAGAACCTACCTCAAAACTTTCACTAGAAGAGGTTGTTTCGATGCCAAAATATTATCAAATTCATCATCTCCTCATCAAGATGCATAGACATAAAAAAAAAAAATAGATTTCAAGTTTTGGAAATAGTGCATCTTGTAGTGTATTTTTGGACCATCAATTTTCAAGACTTTTGAGTTTACACTTTCCATTATTGAAACCATATTTCTCGACACTATTTGAAAATGGGCTCTAATTTGATTATTTAGAGCTTCGACACTATTTGAAGATGGGCTCTGATTTGATTATTTAGAGCCTCGGCTTTATACAAACCGCACCCTTAATGGAAAAGTTTATATAGAGCTGAGGCTCTAAACAATCAAATTCGAGCCTACCTTAAAAATTTCGCTAGAAGAGGTTGTTTTGATGCCCAAATATCCTCAAATTCATCATCTTGACATCAAGACGCATGGACATGAGAAAAAAATGGATTTCAAGGGAATACTGTATTTTGTAATGCACTTTTGGACCGTCAATTTTCAAGTTTTTATAAATCTTGATCTACATTATTTTTGAAGCTTTAAACTATATAAATAAAAATAAAAATATATTTTAAGGTTATCAAAAAAATTTCTAGTATTGAAACCACATTTTTCACTATTTGAAGGTAGGTTCTAATTTGATTGTTTAGAGTATACAAATCACACCTTTTAAGTAATCTTACCTAAAATTCATTATCCATGGTGGAATTGGTTGTTCATGCCATAAAGCGGTGGCTATGAAAGTGGACAATAACTCATCAATCATCAACCTTGCTTAACGTGGGTAAGGATGTATTTAAGTAATCATGCCTAAATTTCATTATCCATGGTGTAATTGGTTGTTCATGCCAAGAAGCGGCTATCTAAGTGGACAATAACTCATCAACCATCAACTTTGATTAACGTGGTCAATGATGTTGGTCTGAATATACTATTTCATATTCATATGAGCTATGAAATATTTTACCATATTTTTTCTTGTACTACATATAATTTCTCTCATTGCGTAACATCAAAGAAAACAAGGAACATATGCATGGTGTTGGAAACTCAAATCCCTCCCTCACACAAATGGAGATTGTAGATCGATATTACTGAGAAATAAATAGGAGAGTGAAGTTTATATATTTCTCTATAACCCTTTCGCCCATATTTTTTTTACAATTTCTTTAAAAAATAATGAGTAAGCTTGGGATATTTTTTGGGGATTCTATTTTATGAGACCATTTATTTTTTATACAAAGAAGTCAATTATTTTTAACCAATTCAACAGATAAAAATATGTCACAACAATCGAGAAATTTTATTTTGGACTTTGCATCCTTACACTCTCAACCACTCGAACTTAAATATAATGATTAGAGTATCTCAAAACAATCGAAAATTTTATTTTGGACTTGTGCCCTTATATCCTCAACCACTCGAACTTAAATCTAATGTTCAATGATAATTGCGATCTCCTTATATAAAAAAAGAATGTCCTAAAGAACAAATATTCTCATTGTATACAAGAGAGAGAGAGAGAGAGAGAGAAAGAGAGATGAATCACACGCATGAAGCATCCAATAGAGATTTATTGCTGCCAATCAGCCTCAATAACCAGTTTCAATTATTGTAGACCTTACTGTAAAAACTAATAACTTATTTGACTATTAAATCCCATAACTTAGTAAACCATGAATCAATTAAACCTCAAGATCCCAATAAATATAAGGACCCAGATCCTTAGAGCCAATTCCTCGACAAGTCGATATACTTAAACTGCACAATTTCCTTCTTACTGTACAACCAGAATTGACTTAGGATGGAAGACGATCCATTGCTTGTAGTGATCCAACTTCAGTAATGTAATCTCCTGATCCACAAATTCTTCTGATGTTAAATCACCTTCAAATTCTTCTCTAAAAGCCATCAAATCACCATCCTATGATCTTCATCAGACAAGAAGCCCAATGTCATATCCACTCGCCCTACGAATTTACCCAATAGTGCCATATAATGCATTAGCTATGGCACCATCATATCTATGGATCCATCGTTGATGGTTTCAGATGTTATCATGTCATATATATGGAACTACTGTTTCGGGTGTTATCATGATCTCAAAGACGACTGCATGCATACATCTAAATAGGATTTGCAGAGGCCCCATCATGTCGAAGTATCGAAGCCTTCATACATCTTGGAAAATGAAGAGGTTAATGAATACGATGATGGGTCATGCAGCTATCACCCATGATTAATTGACTTCTACATTTTCCCATCAATATAATGTGACTCCATGAATATGATGATTATGGCCTCTCCAACTTATAACCCCATGGACAATCAAGTTCTCTATTTGCCTTGCAAATTATAAGTCCATGAAATGATGATGCTGGGTCTTGCAATAACAACAGTGCTGAAATCTTTCCAACAAGGCCAACTTGGTGCCTTGACCTCTCTCTCCTCAAACCACTGAAATAAAAGGGGTTCACTTCACTGGTCTGACACCTACAGTTCTCACCCTGAACCTATACTGAGGCTGGGGCTCATCCTCCTCTTCTTCCTCATCGCTCGAATCATCTTCTACTCTGTCCCATCTAGAGTAATCCAATCCTGAATGCCCTTTTGGTTTAGGGATAGACTCCCATCCTCTGGGATGCAAGTCAGGAGAGTCTTTGTCATTTCCTTTAGCAGAAGATTGAGAATCATTACCATGGAACTTGGCTTTTGTAGCTTCATCTTCTGAAACCCTCACTGCTGCTTCTACTTCTTCAGGTTCAATGGCTATCTCTTCCTCTTCAGGTTCAGCTGCCATGGCTTCCTCTTCAGATTCAGGTATCGGAGCTAGGGACTGGATAGTAAATATGGTAAGCTATCAATATCTCTCTCTCCATTTAGTAAGGAGAACAATAACTGAATTTGCAGTATGAGAGAGACAGCGAGAGAGAGAGAGAGACAGCGAGAGAGAGAGAGAGAGAGAGAGAGAGAGAGAGAGGAGGAGAGTAGTAGTAGTAGTAAGAGAGAGACGTACGTACGTACGTAGTACGTCGTACGTCGTCGTTCGTCGTACGTACGTACGTACGTACTACGTAACGTACGTAAGTA